CATGCAAAAGTAAGTAGATCGATCCGCATCTCGTTACGAGAATACAACTCTGTTGCATCTTCCTTAACCCTTTCGCTGTATTTAGCTCGAGAGAGAGAGAGATTTGAGCAAGGTGTCCAAACTGTTTGCCTATCATAAACTTATTATTACATACGCTGTCTTCTTTAGCTCTCTTTGTTTCTGCCTAAGGTATTAAGTAGGATTGTAGTTTCCTTTGAAATTAGCTCCACTCTAATATCTAATTATTACTGTTCACGAACAGTTTCGGACTTTTTCACGGTAAAAGAAATGGCAAGAAACTAGTGTGAATTAAATATGTACACGTTTTCGTAAAAATTGAGTTGTTGCAATTATTAGTGCAAAATAAAAAAAGGAATACAACGTAGGACTATGCATCCCACGTCTTAAGATTCAGCATACACGATAATTTGTAATTATTAAAAAAGTATAAAACATGCTTCTTCACATTCCTAATCGTAAATACAGATCGTTTGAACCGTCAAAATGTGCACATCTTTTTCACCGCACTTAATTGTTTTATTCAATTGTGAGGTGAAACGCCAATTTGGAGCAAAATTCTTACAAAAAATTTGATCCTTCACTTACTTCTACCATATCAATTCCAAAAACGCACAGATATAAGGAACTGTCTTCTCAAGTTTCCTATCACAATTTCATATTTCCGACGCAGCGTATTCCATCCTGTATAATTAAACCGATAAAGTCCGCTACTCCCGCCCACGCGAATCGTAAAAGGCAATATTGTCACACATAGAATCGCGACGCATCTCTTCCTAAACGATTCCGCCATAAAATCGAATCGCGATAATACGATATTTCGCGCTCGAAAAGCTAGAAAATCGCAGCCGACGGTCTATCAAACCGCGCAGCTCGTACCATTTACCCGCGGCGTTTCGAGCGCCGTAAGACGTTTCACAACAATATCCTTATTATCGATAAATCTTTCCCGCTTTGCCAATATCGGTATCTCGCCGCGGAAACGCATAAGAGAAACATACCGTGGAAGTTCGACAGACTCCGGCAAATTTTACGACTCCGAACACCACGTAAGGATTACGACGATCGTTTCAGGTACAATCCTACGACGTACTCGTGGGAGGCTAATCCTGACGGGAAGTACGCGTATGGTGCAACCTGCGTGAGAAGGTGTCCCGAGCACCTTCTGAAAGACAACGGGGCTTGCGTCAGATCCTGCCCTCCAAAGAAGAAAGCGTTACACGGGGAATGCGTGCCTTGCGACGGTCCGTGCCCGAAAACTTGCAAGGGAGTGGAGAAGGTGCATTCCGGGAACATCGACAGTTTCAAGGATTGCACGATCATCGAGGGCTCGATCACGATCCTGGATCAGAGCTTCCAAGGCTACCAGCACGTCTTTCCCAACTTCAGTTTCGGCAAACGATACGAGAAGATGCATCCCGACAAGTTGGAAGTTTTCAGCACGTTGAAGGAGATCACCGGATTTTTGAACATTCAAGGCGACCATAAGGATTTCAAGAACTTGTCGTACTTCCGGAACCTGGAGATGATTGGCGGAAGAACGTTGACAGAGTACTTCGCTTCGTTGTACATTGTTAAAACTTCGTTGGTCTCCTTTGGACTTAGCTCTTTGAAGAAAATTTACTCCGGCTCGGTAGCCATTTTGGAGAACAAGAATTTGTGCTACGCGCAGAGTATCAATTGGACAAGGATCAAGAAGTCGTCGGAGCACGAGAGCTTGTTGTCGAATAATCGGAACGAGAGTGAATGCAGTAAGTAGCGTTATAATGTAGAAACACTATCCCAGTGTTTCCCAAAGTGGGTTTTAATCAAATTTGATAAAAGTTCCCTTTTAAAAACAATTTTTGTTTCATTTGAAATTAATTCGTTTAAAATTTTTTCTCTCAATTTTGTTTCGTTAAAATTATAGATTCGGCGATTTTCTCAAAATTGTATAAAGGTTCTGCAAAAAATAAATTTGGGAACCACTGCTCTATAAATAAAAAATTAACACCTAGAAAAATTTAAGGTAAAAGAATGGGTGGGCGTACTGGTGAAACACGTGAAGTCAAAAAATTCTCGTTTTTACTTTATGGCGAGAAACCATAAAAATGTCATATACTTTGTGATACTATATACATACTTTGTTTTTATCGAAACATAAAAATGTCAAATACTATTAAATTCAGTTTCTGAAGAACCATACATATTTTCCAAGTGTCTTTTACCAACAAGCCTCTGAAATATCATTTGTCAAACTAAGAAATACTACATCAACACCTTCTACGAAATTACAGTCAAAGATGGCTTGGTCTGCGACGAGCAGTGTTCCGACGAGGGTTGTTGGGGGCCCGGTCCGGCGCAATGTCTATCCTGCAAGAACTTCATTCTGGGAAACGATTGCCTTCAAGACTGCACTGCACCAGGGTAAGAAGCAAACTTCTCTCGTTACTTCGAATATTTCATATAACCTCATACCAACTGCATCGTAACGTAAATAACAAATGTTACTTCTGTATGTTAACTTTGCCTGCCTCAGATTGTGGATCGAAGGTAAACTGCGAACACCTGAGAAGACTTTAACTTCTTGCTTCATGTGCACACGCTTTTAACCCTCTTCCCACTTATTGTTCTGCTCTCGTTTATATTGTACAGCGTTCACCAGGAGAAAAATAAAAAAGAACCTCGAGTAACCGTTTCGTGTCCTATTCCTCTAGAATTTATCAAGCGGACGAAAAGACCTGCAAGTTGTGCCACGAGGAGTGTGACGGTTCTTGCACAGGACCGAACGCGGAGTATTGCACGAAATGCAAACACGCGCGAGACGGTCCATTCTGCGTGCCAGAGTGTCCTTCCTCGAAGTATAACGACAACGGTCAGTGCAAAGACTGTCACGAGAACTGCGTGGGTGGCTGCGAGGGACCTGAAAACAACATAGGCTCTAATGGATGCCACAGTTGCGATAAGGCGATCATGAACGGCCATGTACCTGAAGGATGTCTGCAAAAAAGGGAATCCTGTCCCGACGGTAGGTGATCTGACATTTATTTCCTCTCGATAAGAACCTGCCTTTTGTACGGATGGAATTCTATCGCAACTGTACACGCTCGAGATTGCAGTTTGCTCCATAAGTATAGATTTACGTGGAAGTTTCAGTAAACTGGGTTACCGGCTAGGCACGTAGGCGTTACTTTAATAGTGAATTCAGGGTTTCGAGCGAATACCGTTTCTCAATGGAGTTTAATATCATTCCTCGGTTAATATTTATCTCTCGGCAAGTGTTTTTCGTGGAACTTAGCCTACAATTTAGGTGGAAATTTGTACAGTCTGTATAGACAGATTTTTGGGCTAAGAAAAATTTCAGGCGAATCAAGGACTTTTGCTACATACTGCATAATCCAAAATTACAATGATACTATAAAACAGAGCATGTTGGATCGCAGTATCATGTATGGATCGCTCTGTAAACATTTCGCAGCAAATTAAAAAAGAAAGAAGATTACCCTCGTAACGTGACAATTTGTATGTTAAAGGCCACTACTACGAATGGGTGAGTCCTCAAGAGCAAGGAGCGCTGAAGCCTCTGGCAGGAAAGGCAGTTTGTCGCAAGTGTCACCCCCGTTGCAAGAAATGCACGGGATACGGTTTCCACGAGCATGTGTGCCAAGAGTGTACGAAGTACAAGAAGGGCGAACAATGCGAAGACGAGTGTCCCGCGGATAATTTCGCGGACGCTGATACTCAGCTTTGCATACCGTGCTTCAGCGAGTGTCGAGGGTGCTCCGGACCGGGCCCGAATCAATGTTACAAATGTCGGAACTTCAAGATCTACATTGTACGTATTTGAAAAATTTCCCGATTTAGAGTTTCACTACTTCGAATTAACTTCTTTCCTTGCTTCAGGACGAAGATATAGACGGAAACACCACAGCCTTCAACTGCACAGAGATATGTCCTCCTGAATACCCGCACAAGATCTTCCCTCCGGACAACGAACCGTACTGTTCCCTGAAAACTGTCGCTCCTGGACCGATAAAAAACGAACTTCAGCCAGCCATCTTAGCGGGTGTTGCAGTATTCGCTTTAGCTTTTCTCGTGGTAGCAGCTGTGATCATGTACTTCTGGCGAGTGAGAGCAAAGGCTAAGGAGAACACTGTGAAGATGACAATGGCGCTGACTGGTTTGGACGACAACGAACCTCTTCGGCCGACGGGAGTGAAGCCAAATCTAGCGAAATTACGGATCATCAAGGAAGAGGAGATGAGAAAAGGTGGAATTCTAGGGTACGGCGCATTCGGAAACGTCTACAAGGGTGTCTGGGTGCCGGAAGGGGAGAATGTAAAGATACCAGTGGCCATAAAGGTGCTTCACGATGGGACAGGAGCAAACACCTCGAAGGAATTTCTCGACGAGGCGTACATCATGGCCAGCGTGGAACATCCGAACTTGCTTCAGTTGCTGGCTGTTTGCATGACGTCTCAGATGATGCTCGTGACCCAACTGATGCCTTTAGGCTGTCTACTCGATTTTGTACGTAGATATAAAGATAAAATTGGTTCGAAGGCTCTGTTGAATTGGTGCACACAAATCGCCAGAGGGATGGCCTATCTGGAGGAGAGAAGGTTGGTTCATCGTGATCTCGCAGCTCGAAACGTTCTCGTGCAAACGCCTAACTGCGTCAAGATCACCGACTTTGGTTTAGCTAAGCTCTTGGACATCAACGAGGAACAGTACAAAGCTGCCGGTGGCAAAATGCCCATCAAATGGCTGGCTCTAGAGTGCATTCAGCATCGAGTGTTCACTCATAAGTCAGACGTCTGGGCCTTCGGTGTTACTATCTGGGAGGTCCTCACCTATGGCGGCAGACCGTATGAGAATGTTCCTGCTCGAAACGTGCCAGAATTGTTGGAGAAAGGTGAAAGACTGCCTCAACCGGCAATCTGTACTATCGACGTGTATATGATCATGATCAAGTGTTGGATGTTGGACGCAGAGTCGAGGCCGAGCTTTAAGGAGCTGGCCGAAGACTTCGCGAAGATGTCTAGAGATCCTGGCCGATATCTTGCTATCAAGGGCGACAAATACATGAGGCTACCTTCGTATACACTGCAGGTTAGTAGCACAGGTTCAGCATTTTAAGATTTTAACGCATCTATTCTTCTTTTAAATTCACACGTTGCTGCTGGGTTCTTTTGTATATCGTAATTGTGTTTCTTTCGTGTATTTAGGACGAAAAGGAGATGATACGGAATCTTGCATCCGCCATGGACGGTCCCGAGGCTTTGGTAGACGCTGACGAGTATCTTCAGCCGAAATCCAGAGCCCCGATTCCACCAGGACTTTCAGCATCCAGTACTTCCGGTTCACCTCCAAACACGCCCGTGAAAGCTTGCTGGCCAAACGGAAAACCGCTGGCTGCTGACTCTCCTACCCCTCAGAATCAGCAAAACTGGGACAGGGAGTTGTTGAGGTACGGCGCGAATCACAGAAACGGGAATGCTTCACACGAGCCAGGAAATTCCGGTCAACATCCGCATTACGCACCACCGAATGGTCATTGCGGACACGTCGTAGGATCGGACAATTCCAGTTCGAGATACTGCTCGGATCCATTAAAGATGATCGGCGTCAGAGGTGAGTTGAATCATCGTTGTTATTATTTTAGAGATTGTTTTATAAATCCCTGATTCTCAACTAATTCGCTCACGCATTTCTATATTTCTCTTACACATTTAAAAAAAAATCTGCAGGTATTCCTAGACAATATTCAGCCACCCGTCGTTCACAACCATAATCTCAAACTCTTCTCTTTCGCACCTCTAGCGCTTTGAAATAAAAACTCTTCGTTCACTAACTCAAGCATTCCTCGCTTGAAACACTAGCATACTCTGACTTCGTACGAACATTTACGTGAAACTTACATTCCTATATTATAGTCCTGTGGACTGTCCAAAGTTGGGGTAAAGACCTCAATCGGTCGTGAAAGACTAACGTTATTCCGATATACATGAAAAAAAGTCGTTCTAATGTTGTGCTTAAAACAATTGTTTCTATCTTCTGAAACGAAAAGTTTTTGGAGAAAGATTGTAACGGTATTGATTATCGTTTGCACAGATTGCGATGTGACAGACGATTGTTTCGACGGCGAAGTGAACTCCGCGCATCAGCAGGCTCAAGTAGGTAACCTGAAGCTCGATTTGCCATTAGACGAGGACGATTATTTGATGCCATCGCCTCAATTGCCAACGAACACGACGCAGTACATGGATCTCATAGGCGACTCGAAACCTACGGGTAAGCTGTCGAACTATTCTACAACTCGACCTTGAAATCGTAATCACTTGAAATTTCTCACACATCCTATATAATTTTTCATGCATAAAGAAATCACGTGATTATGCTAGAACATGAAACAGCGTCTAACCTTGCGACGTCGTTTGCAGAAATGGAACCAAAGCGAGTGAACAACGGTTACCGGAAGTACCCCGAGTTCCTGACGATCCAAGGGAAAACATCGCTGGACAATCCCGAGTACATAATGTCACAGGACGAGGGGCCGTTAACACCGCAAACTTTAGGTATTCCAACGCCCGATCTGGAGAAGGTATTAACGAACGGTACGTTCGGGTCTCAGGTGAGACAAAGGAGCTCCGAGGAGGAATCTGATCACGAGTACTACAACGATTTCGACCGACTGGAACGGGAATTGCAACCGCTGAAACCCCTTAGGAAGAACGAAACGACCGTGTGATTTCGAATATTCCTTGAACGACGTTCAATCAAAGGACTGTTCTCATTGTCGTTCCAATCCGGAACTGTAAAACGCCGGTGTCGTTCGATACGCACCTGTTAAGCGGAACGGGTGAAAGCACGAGCATGAAATTGGAATAAACGCGAACGACAATCGGCGTCCTCGGGTATAGAGATACTCGAGGAATACTTCACAGTGTACTTAGAAAGGACACTTCGCTGAAAAGTGCCGTGTTTGATTGTGATTAGACGTAAGACGCGTGAAACTGTGCTAATTTCGCAAGCGGAATCGACTGGTCGCGGCGACGAAGGTGGAGAAACTTCGTTGCGCGCACGCGCGCGCGCGTACGACGAACAAGTAGTGCAAAGATAATCTTAATGTGCCATTTACCGTGGCTTGTAAATAAAAAAGAAAAAATGAAGAAAACAGTACTGTCTACCACTTCTCTAAGGCTATTAAAAGTTTAAGGAACGACGTGTGCAGTAAATGGCATAAACAATTGTTCCCTTCCTATCTCTCTTTTCGACTTCTGAAACGTTTATCTTCTCAATGGTGCACGTTTCGTTATGCTGTTTCTCTTTTTTACCTTGTTACATTCGTTTTACAATTCTCGAACAATTTCATCCTCTTGGATTCGCATGCAACGCAGCTAATCGTGCGCGGGAAAATCATTTCAACGAACGACACGTGGGCCATTGTAGTTTTTTTCTTCTTTTTAAAATAACGGAACTATCAGAAGTGTCTGTTACTCGTTTTTTCCTACGTTAAAACGATATGTAGACCCACTTGGATCGCGAGGATCTCTCTGTTTTGCGCGATCGAGTACGAATCAATGAGATGTGAAATGTTGCGCACGCGGGGCCGTTTCAGAAATTGGGGAAGATCCCGCGAAATTCAAGTCGCCTCGCGGCGTCGAAACATCTGCGCGGTTCGCCGTTGACTGTGATAAGAAACGTTCTGCTACTTCTCTCGAGGACACTTAAAAAGACGATGAAGAAGAAGAAGAAGAAGAAGATGAAGAAACACATCTCAATCTCGTTTATCGATCCTTTCACGCTTTCCTTACTTCTTTTTTTTTTTTTTTTTTTTTTTTAATATACCGCAGTAAGCTACGACAGTACAACGAATTGTCCTAATTTACTGTACAAAACGATTTTAACCGAATGTCCGAGTCGCCGAAACGCGAACATCGACCGGAATCCAGGGAAAAAAGAAAAAAAAAGAAAACAAAACAAAAATGGAAAATCGTGTAACGCTTCCCTGAGATTCTTGTCTCGTGGCTCTACTTAAGGAGAGAGAGAAAAAAGAAAGAAAGAAAGAAAACGAAAAAATACGTACGTTCAACGATGCCCTATATATATTTTTTTATGCCATCGCCTTTTTGTACATGGGACCAATGAAATTGGCCTCGGCCGTATTCGCACGGAATTATCTCGACTTCTTTTTTTTATACATTGTAGGAACGCGTCTGTTGTGTACATAGATTAGTGGTTATAGCGCGTAAGGAGACATTCTACGAATGTAGAAAACGGAAAGTACTTGAGTAAACTAAGCAAAACTGTGTATCTGTTTTTCTTTTCTTGTTAACGGGAATTGAAAACGGAACGAGAAAGAGTTATATATATATATATAACACTATTGGGCGCAGCGCCGGTATTTTTGCGAATCGTATACCACGGGGTTACGCTGTGCCGCGTAATCATAGGATTAGGACGTGCCATGTTGTGTGTACAGGGAACGCGCGCGCGAGTAAAAAATGAAAAAAGAAAGATAGCGGCGAACTATTGGAGGTTTCGTTGTAAAAAAGGGGAAATCGTAATATCGAAATTCGAGCGAAAAAACAATTTCGGAAGGAAATAGAAAAAAGACAGAAAAAGAAAGAAACGACGGATGATGCTCCGAGGCATTGCGTTCGATTTAGCGGGGAAAATTAACAGTGGCGTGCACGAGCGTGCGCGAGATTGACGATCTCTCATTCGTGTCGGTACCGCGAAGATAGAGAATTTTTGATTTTTTTTTCTTTTTTTTTTAACGATGCACGCGATTCTGTGATAAAACGAAAAGAAACAAGTCTTCGAGGAGAAAAACTGTTTTTCTTTTTTTCTAACGTTGAACGACGAGTCACGCGACATTCTCGATTTATGCGCTGTGTTGTGAATGGAATTGACATGGATTTCCAATCTCGTTGCACGCACTATGCACGCCCTTAATTCTTATACGACGATAAGCCAATTACCTATCGTGTACATTTTGCGTTAAGCGTTATTAATGGCTACGTTATGGATTTCTCTCCCTGTAATATAATATATTATTGTATCATCGATTTCGTTGCCGAGGCGGATCGTCGTGAAAACCGCGAGGACAAAACGTGTACGCGTCCATTTCCTTTTTTTTTTTTTTGTTTTTTCTTCGCGACAGTTTCTCAAGACGAAAGAGAAAAACGAAAAAAGAATGAGAAAACGTGTCTTTCCAATATTCCTCTACCGTTACGTTAACTCCCTCTTTTTCTTCGTTCCCCATTTTTTACGATTCGGTGTAAAACTGACAGGACGATAATCGCGTTCGTGAATTCTGAAATTGTACAATACCGTTTTCGAATTATCCCCGGGATAAAATAGCTGCGAGGAATTGCATTTGCCATTCGGTTGTGGACATAGAACTTATAAAACTTTATAATATCATTATGTTATCGTAAAGAAATTATTGTAATAAAGAACCATCATCATTCTTACGAGGCCCATGTCCTTTGTTTTTTTTTACAAATCCCCGCATTTTTCTCTCGATTGTTCTATTTCGTAGCTCGGTTTACGCGCTGCTACGAGTGAATAAATGTTCTATTTTTGTTCTTTTCCCATTTGAATCACATTAAGTGGAAAAAAGATAATATTCGTAATTGAGGTGTATAATTTTTAGATAATACGACTCGTATGACTAAAATGTTGACTTGTAAGAAGGGAAAGTTATTTTGCGGAATTTAACACGAAAAAGTATTTTCTTTTTATAAAATATATTTAGAACAATCCTTCCACGACTTGTCGCAGCAAGAGTATTTATTTTCATCTCGTCATTAATCGAAGTGTTCTTTCCCTCGGTATGTATTGAGAAAAATACTCTGTTATGTAACGAGTTCCGCAATTCGACGTAAACGAACGAAAACGCACGAGAGATAACCGAACGTTTTTTCCCACTCTTGTATACATGCATACCCATATGTCCAGTTGTTCGTCGTCAGTAGGCACTGTTGTGTCGTACGGGTCAGATATTTGTAAGTTTCATTTACTTCGTGTTTCCTATATTTTGGATGGTTACAGTACGTATAATTGGTTATCGTTCAGTTGTATCAAATGAATGTCGCGAATGCACCTTTAAGTTCCATAAATCGATAAATATGCTGAAGTAGAGTTAATTGAAATTTTCAAGTGGTATCATACGTATAAATACGGTTTCTATGTAATTTTGCGCAGTATAACTTTTTTCTTTAATACCAAGCTGCTCCTAAGCGAATTAGAAGATTGTCCATCGAAAACGAACAATTGAATAAGACTTCTTTAATTGTTCGTCGCAAATACGCAGCACAAAACATGGAGACAATAGATGATCCCTATCTGAGACACCTTTTCGATGGAGATTCTGTATTTAACGTATATAACGAAGAAGCAACGAACTTATCGGTTGGCGCTCCTGGTCCTGACTTGCTACAACATTGCGTTGAAATGATAAAAAAAGCAACAGATCATAGATTGGTAAAAAGAAATTCAAACGAAATTCTAATATATTACAACCATCTTGTTATAGTTTTAAAAAATTGTAATTCTATGTAAAATCCTTTTCTGCAATTCACGTTACGATTTTGTTAAGCTACTGAAAAATTTTTGTACCAATAAATCGCAAATTTTCCATCGTATCTTATAATAAATTATACATAATATATTTATAATAAATATATTTATCACAGAAACAGTATTTTGTGTATATAATCACACCGTAGGTAAATTTCGTCTTAGGATGAAGAGAAGAAAGAGGGGAAGTATTATCTGTTCCAATATGGCATCACAGCAGGTTTATGGGAATGTCGGGAAGAATTGGCGAAATTTTTAACCAGACGTTACGGTGACCCCGTGAAAAGGGAAGATTTAATTTTAACATGCGGGGCATCCCATGGTTTGCAGCTTTTGTTGAATACCGTCATCTCGCCGAACGGGATAATATTCGTAGAAGAAGTCACTTACATGATAGCTTTAGATGCTTTCAAACAATTTCCTCTAATGAAAATAGTCACAGGTATTATATCGTGTTACTTTTTTTTCTGTTTTCGTTAAATTAGAATATTACCGAAGCATTGTTTTTGGACGATAAACATCGTCCTCTAGTAATGATAAATCTACGAATTGAATTATAAACATATTATATACTTTTCACGATAGATCCTTTTTTCCTCATTGCGAATAATTTAGAATATGCTACATGTTATCAGTTCATTCGTATTAATTACATAACTATAAACAGTGAATATTAGTTAAGTAATAAAAACATGTTATTCGTAACACAGTACCAATGAAAAACGACGTGGTAGACTTAGATGCATTTGAAAAAATAGTCGTGGAAGAAAAAGAGAATAGTAATTTTGTTACAAACGAGCAGAAAATATTCTGGGCGATGTTTTATACAATTCCCACCTTTCATAACCCGACTGGAACAACTTTACCACCTGGTAAACTATAAACTATGAATTTTGTCAATTTATTGGAAATTTAAAAAACAATTAACAAACCTTTTTTTCTTCTAACTTTTAACAGAAAGTTGCAAGCGTCTCGTTGAAATAGCACGGAAAAGTTCCATAGTGATTACCTGTGACGACGTATATAATTTATTATTTTATGGAGACGGCTTTCCACCACACCGATTGTTTTCGTATGATAATCCAACTGATTCCAATTACGAAGGTGGCAACATTGTATCGAACGGGTCGTTTTCAAAAATTTTTTCCCCAGCACTTCGTTTTGGATGGATCGAATGTAGTTCACGAATCGCCAAAATTTTTCGATCATCGTAAGCATAATGTTCGCCTTTTGTTGGTCTTGTTTTGTTGCCGAATGTGTCATTATTTAGGTTCTTGTAAATCCGTATTTTACAGAGGAATCTTACGTAGCGGTGGTGCAGTTAATCATTACGTTTCGGGTGTCGTTACGAGTTTACTACAATTAAGTATTCAAGACAACTATCTCGATAAACTTATTCATATTTATAAGGTAAATTTCGTAAACCTTGTATGAGGGCCAGCCTCTAAATTAATCATTTCTAATTCTTTGGGTCAGTGGTGAACTCTTCGCTGAATAGTTCGCATAGTAGAATACAGTTAATGAAAACTCATTAGATGTCAAATCAGCTGTATTCGATGAAGTGGTTGGATTGTAGTGCAATAGGTACCAGTTTTTACAATTTGTAAGTTGCCTTTCCTAGCAATTTCACTGTGAATTCGAGACAAGAGAAAGAATACAAACGACTGTAAGGCTAGCCACCGAACCGTACGTTTTCGAGAAAAAATTATAAGATAATCAATTTGAAGGTTGATTTCTAAGGACGAAAATTATTAATGTGTCTATATCGGAGAAATTTCTATTTTCGCCATATCAGTTTAAATGTCACAGATAGTAAAATATAAATCTCTACTAACATTTCACTGTATCTTAAATTCTATTTAAAAACAAAAAAATATATATATAAGTTATAGAAAAGACAGTATTTAAAATGTATATATAATATTCTGCATAGGAACGATTAACAGTATTGTGTAATATACTGGATCATTATTTACCACAATGCAGTTCATATCAGAGACCAGAAGGTGGTTATTTTGTGTGGATTCATCTCCCCCCAGGTATATGTATTAATAACAACTAAATAAGTGAACAATGTCAACTGAAAATTTAATTAAATTATAGGAATAAATGGCAGTGAATTTATTAAATGGTGTCAAGAAAAATACAAAGTAACTGCCATACCAGGAGTACAATTTTCATATGCAGGAAAAAGTCATAATTTCTTACGACTTAGTATAGGTTTTCACAGAAAGGAAATTATAAGAAGTGCTGCAAAAACACTTTGTGAAGCACTCTTAGATTATATTAGAAGAAAGACTGATTGTAAATAAGTAAAAAGATCATTTTCTAAATACATACCAGCTGTAGTAGTTTTTAATATGTGTCACAGAAAATGTATTACCTTTCAGATAATAAATACATTTAGTTATTTATAAAACTTTAATATAAATCTCTCAATATTTTCAAATTAAAAAATTTGACATTTCAATTGTATGCTAATAAATAAATGTTCCATAAGGGACAGAAAATAACAATAACAATAATAATGTTATGAAAGAATTATATTTATTTTTTTAGTTTCACATAAATTAAACAAAAATGAAATATTTTACATGAAATTTAAAAATGATTATTATTATGACTCTCCTAGTAGCTCTTTTTGTTTTGTTTTCAACAACTGCTCTGCTTTACTAACATTCTCTTTTTGTAGGGCATTTATATAACTTTCAGCTTTAAAGATTAAATCTGTGGGTGCATTTTCTTGTTTCTTCAACTGTCTTATATGTTCATTTCTTATATCACCAATGATGTCTTTACATTTAACAAAATATTGTTTTGCTCTTCTTGCTAACTCTTCTCTGTGTTCCTTTGTAACTCTACAAAGTTACATAACAAAATAAACACATTAAGTAAAAGCAATATGCATTATACATGTAGTATTAACAAAACTTACTTGGGCAGTTGAATATAAAGAGTTGTACCTTCTTGTTGTGGATTTAAATTCATTTCTGACTTTGTAAGAGATTCTAGGATATTTGGAATTATTTGTGGAAAAGAAGATGCATTCAATATTAGCATATTAGGTTTTCGACTAATTTCTACAAGTTCTTCAAGATTATACTCATCATTTTCAAATGTTATACGCACTCCTTCTAAAGCACCTACTCTTGTACGTACACCTAAGTGCTTTATCATTTGATCTTTAAAATTTTCAATAGCTTCATTAAATTGTGCCATCATATGCTCAACGTTTACAAACTCAGAAATTTCATTAAGGTCAACATGTACCACTGTCTTCTTTTCTTTGTATCGATCTTTACTTTTTAACAATGTATTTGCAGTACAGAATTTATTTGCACCACATAACTTAAATGAAATATCATATGAGCCAATGTGCACATTCTTTAATTCAGATGGTATTAAAGTGTTTTTGTAATTTTTCAAGTAATGTAAACGTCTAACACTTTTAATTAACCAACTTAGTTCTACAATTTGAGATCTTAAGAAACATAAATTCATTGTTGCTCGTGTGTTTAATTAACCGTATGTTTCTGTGCTCCTTTTTATATCTGATAAAAAATTATATCAATCATTGAATATCGTTGCAATCACTATAATGCTAATATTCATATTGCAACGTTTAGTAAGGTTGGGAATCATTATTACGACATGTACTGATTCCGAAAAATTTCGAACGTTTGAGAAGTGTTTGACTTATACTACTTATCGATTCCGAAAGATTTCGAGTTTCTGAGAACTGATTGACTACACTACTTGCTTGAATTACGAAAATTTTCTAGAATTTTTCGACGAAAAATTTCGACGTCTCTGAAATGGTTTACTTAGGCTACTTGTTACGATTCCAAAAATTTTCTAAAATTTCTCGAAGCTAATTAGTAGTGACAGTCAATAATTTTTCAAATGCTCGAAAAATTTCGACCTTATCATCACAACGGCAACGCCACAAATTAAATATTTAATGCGACATCTGGTGGCTACTATCTGAATCATTCAAATGTTTGGAGAATTTGAGAGATTCGTAATTGTTTTGTGGCTGATGTGGCGCTCCGTAATGTGAATGCTGAAATGCGCCAAATACAAATTGTGCAGCGGTATAGTCGAAGCAATTAACAAATAAATTGTGTATATATATAATATATCGTAAAATGTCTATATAATTTTATATAGAATCTTTAATCTAATTGGAGATTATTATTTAACAAACATATGTTAACATTGAATAATGAATATCAACGGCGCTTGAACATTCATTCGACTTTCCTAACGGAAGAGTATAGACGTGTTATTTTGTAAAAAAAGGAAATAGTTAAAACATTTCGTTCGTTCTTATTCTTATCAAGTTATTTATTGTTCTGTAAAAGATTCAGCGTTAGATTTTCTCATTTATTAAACTTACTAAACGACCACGCGTAGAACGCTTTAGTGCTCCACAGGCAATAATTCCCTCACATTCCTCAAGAACACACGTGTTGCGCTGTCGCTTGAACGTAGTTTTAATCGTTCGTCGTGCATGCACGTGAATATGGCTATAGAGCGGTCTGAATCTGGTGTCATGTGGCGCCTCGTAGTGTGAATGTTAAAGCGCGCCAAAGTCTAATATTGAGAACCAATCAAATTCATCCTCAAGAACTCGTATGGAGTTTTTGATTTGATTGGAGACTTTTGTAAGACAAAGGCATGTAAGACGATGATGAAACCAGCGACGCCGAACGATTCATTCGATTTTCCTCGTTCAAAGAGGTGAGACGTATTATCTTGTAATAAAGTTATAGTTAAACATTTCGCTTATTCTTGTTCCAATCAAGTTATTTATTAGTTTATTAAAAGTTTCAACATTAGATTTTTCCGTATTCATTAATTTTCTTAAACTATCGTGTTCCGAAGTGCATTGGCGCTCCACGTGCACAAATTCCATCAAATTCCCCAAGAACCCACGTATCACAAGTGCCTGGGATGAGAACCCTAGGCGCCTAGGGACGTCACATTAAACAACTTTACATTTCAAGGGAAAATATTAATAAGTAACTAGAATAGAATGCCACACTGTACTCTGTCATTAATGTGCGCTTTAATTGCATACTAAAGATTTCAAACAATAGAATGCAATAGATTTTTAAAAGAACTAAGTTTGAAGTAAATTAAAAAAATTCTTGCAAGGAAAGT